GGGTTTACACTTTACACTTGCCTCTTCTCTCACAGGGCTCTTCTCACCTTAGCTCAGGGCCCACAATCGGAGCTGTTATCCAGGAAGTTGGTAGACTTGCTTCGGGTCTGGACATCCCCAAGTCTAGCCAGGGTTTAACACAGGTGGAGGTGATTGGGAAAGAAGAGAGAGTTAAAATTTCACATGATTTAAGGCAAATTAAACAGTAAGATGTAAAACTATTTGGAACGTGTTTTTAACATTCCATTTGCATATGGGATGCTTAACATTTAAAAGGAATATTCAGCTGCAGTTAACTATTATTTTATCAAAATGGCCTTTCTTAGGGTTTCAGAAGGCTTTTCTTAAAGCACATGTGTATGTGTACCTACGTGACATTCTCAAGAAAATTTGAATAGCTGTAACAGCCTTGGCCTGTGGTCTGCAGAGTTAAGCTCTAATTCTGTTTTGTTGTTGTTTTGATGTTGTACCAGTCCTGGGCTTGAACTCAGGGCCTGGACACTGCCCCTGAGCTTCTTTTTGCTCAAGGCTAGTGTTCTACCACTTGAGCCATGGCTCCACTTTTAGCTATTTTTTTTTTTTGATTTGGGGAAGGGATAGTTTATTGGAGTCTCATGGACTTTCCTGCCCAGACTGGCTTCAAAGCTCAATCTTCAGATCTCAGCGTCCTGAGTAGCTAGGATTACAAGTATGAGTCTGTGTGAGCCTGTGTGAGCTTCTGATTCTGTTTGGATCATTAACAAATGTGTGATTTTTGTAAAGGATGCGTCATTTTTGGCTCCTGTGTTTTCTTACTATAAAATAAGGAGACTATAAAACACTAATGGTTTGTTCATTTCTTGGCTTTTGAAAACATTAGGTCCATTTTTGTTCAAGCAAATTCTTATGTGAGGTCTCAAGATACAAGCCATATAAAAGAGATTTTTGTTTTAAAATGTACATTTATAATGTTTAGTTAAAAATCTAAACAATTAGAAAACCAGTTACTCTGATGTTATAGGTTTTGGACACTTTTTAGCAATGCTATTGTCCAATGTATTTTTAAATTTATTTTGCTGATTTCAGTTTCAAAAAATACTGCTTTGTATCAGGCTTCAGCTGGTGGTGGCGCACAACTGTAATCCTAGCACTCAGGAGGTTGAGGATTAGAGATTTCAGAGTTCAAGGGCAGCCTGGGCTATGTAGCAAGACTCTGTCTTAAAAAAAAAAGGCAAAAGAAGACAGAACAATAAAGGGAATACTGCTGAATGCAGTGAAGTTACAGAAAATGGGAACTGATTTTTAACAATTTGTCTTGTAATCTCAAGGTTCCTTTAATTAGATTTATTCAGATGTTTGAAAGAAGAGTATAATTCTATAAAACTTCTGCTTCAGAATCGACAACACTCAGCAGTAGCCTTCATTCCTTACAACAAATGACGGACAAGACACATTCAGAACCATCCACCATTCTCTATGAACAGTGTGGTTAGTTCTTAGTGAACTGTTAGTTGGAAAGTGTACTTCATGACTTTAGATGGTTGATCTTCACCTGCCATATGGAAATAACATTAGGATCTACCTGAAAGAGTCGTGGTAAAGGTCAGACAAGCTAATCTGGGTGAGCCATCACAAGACAATATGTGCTATGTGTTCTATAAGTGATTTGTGACTCTAGCTACACATCACCATCTGTCTGTCAGTCAGTCTGTCTGTTTTGGTCTACTAGCCCCAATCAGAAATTTCTCCAGAGCACACACTCTAGAACCTGCTCTGGAATTTCACTTAAGACAGGCATTGCCACGGGACCCTTGGTAATGTCTGGAGGGAGGGTGATGTGTTCGAAAAGGGTCGGGCACTGCTGGCAGGTAGAAGCTAGGGATGTGGGGAACGTCTTCCAGCGGGCAGGACAGCCCCTCCGCAGGATATGAGCCAGTCTGGCCAGCAGTGGTGCTGGGGTTGAGAAGCTGAGGGGAGGCATGCTACAGGCTCTCCCGCTGCATCTTCACATGGACCAGAGCTACGTGAACCATTTCCCTATTAATAACAGACAACCAGAAGTCTGGCATTCCTTTGAAAGCAGGAGCAAATGCATTATAAGCACTGCACAAAACTGAATTAACATGTTGACATAAGTTAGCACATTAGTGCTCTCTAGTGAGTTGATACTTTATGGAGAATACAACTGAGGATACACAACTTAAGACTCAATGTTAAGTTAATTTAACCATCTTACAGATTTAAATTTGAGACAAATGTGTTGGAATCCTTGCAACGTACCCTAGGGTACCTTGGAGCATGGGACATCACAGGTCTGTGGTCTCTTTCAGGTGTTAAGAGTTTGGCTTTGTTTAGGCTGAGATAGGAAATGTAATTCCTAATAGCCTTCCTTTTCCACAGAGCAGCTCAGCGTTCTCCACAATGCGGGACTCTAAAGAGCAAGAGACGTCCTTGTCCTTCTGCAGAGGGGTCCAGAGCATCTACATTGCCATCTTTTCCCTGTCTTTCATCTTCCTTCTGCCACAAAATGTCCCTTCCCCACTGGTTACATCTACCCTTCCCTTTCTCGGCAATGCTTAGCTTACTCCTGTCACTCATTTTCCATTTGCCTGATTTTTCCATTTCCCATGATGCAGTTGCTTAAGTTAGTTCCCTTCTGATGGGTAGCTGAGCTGGACCATACTTGCAGCGCTAGAGCCTCGTGTCTCTGTGTCTGAGTTCTGTGTGTAGGTTTTGTTGTCGTTGGAGGGGGAAGTGGTTAGTCTATTCATTTCTGGGGATTTTGTGTTGTTTTTTTTTTCACCTGTAAAATTAAAACAGTAATCCTATTCATCATGGTTGATGGAAGCGGCATCCCCGGGTAACTATTCAGATGTTAGTTGTATACATTATACCTGAAACAAAGAATGGTCTTGAAGGGAGTTAGGTAGAACAGGCCTTGAAGGAGAAGAGGCTTGGCGGGAATCCCCATGGGAGCTGATGCCACCTGACTGTACAAAAGGCTCTTTTATAGTTCATGAATCCCCACTTTTTATAACTGGACAGTCAGAATCACACTGTCCCACTGGACCCCTTTCTCTCTCCCACAGTGGTCTTTATCTTGAGTCCTGTAGACATCCTTATAGAAATGGGTCCAATTTCTTTCAATGACAGCCCAGCTCCATAAATAAGTGCATAAATAACTTGCAGATGCCCGTAACTTAGCATCAGGGTGATTCCGCTCCTCAAATGTTTGGAACAAACAGTGAGAGATGAGGCCTTGTGATGAGTGGGGCTTGCTCATGGCGTTGGAAGTGGAGCGTCTGGCAAACCCGAGATACACAAACAGAAGTCAAGGCAGGTGCTGCAGATGCCCTTTCTGAGCTGAGCCCATCTGTGCACAGAGCTGTGTGAGTAGTGAAGACTTCACAGCCAGGCCCAAATCGTTACTTTCCTCTCCACCCTCTCTCCCTCTTTACTTCCACCTTTCCCTGCACAGATGGGTTCTTTTAAAGTAGGATAATTAAAGAGATGGCAATTATTTGATCATCTTAATTATAAAATGTAGCTTTTCATATTTCTCAGCAAAAACAAGCAAGCTAGTCTTCGTCTTTCTAATTTTTGTAGCTTCTATTTAGATCCAGATGTTTGGGAAATTAAAACTTGAGCAAATGAGTGTCTCCCACATGTTTATCTGTTCTTTCATTAGCTAGATTTTTCACGTCCTCAGTACGTTACAGTTTTATGCCACTCTTGGTAGAATGAAAACCAGGTACATAGTGCCTTTCAAGTTTACATAATCCAGTAGCATACATACAGCCTGGCTATTTTTTTCAACCTTTTTGAAGTTTTGTTAAATCTAGGTTGTGCTAAAAATGCTAACCATCTTTCTCTCCTAAGTCTCATATAGCATGCACTCCTCGAAACTGCTAGTGTCCTGAGTATCTGCGGATGGCCGCCCTCACTGGAAATTGGGATCTGTTTCTAGGGACTCATTATTTTTATCATTTTCCTAGTCTCAGAATGTTTATAAACAAAATACACACCAAAGAAGCAATTTTAACACATGGAACTGTTCACTTTGAATTATTCTTCCTCAAAGAATCAGAGATACGCAGGCCTAATAAATACTCATTGATTGCTCTACAATGACTAGTAGAATGCTCTTGGGAAAGAAGGTTCTAGAAGAAAGATGGAGGCAGGGGCAAGTTTTAGGATCTGGAATTTACATCACTGAAGTTCTCAGTTCTGACAAACACACAGTGATTATGTGGGTTGTTTACTTTGAGGCTGTGGATAGAGAGGGAGGGACTAAGGGAAGAAAGCTGTGCAGCCATCTTACAATTTCTTACAATTTTCCTAAAAAAACCACCACCACCACCAATCCAAGGACCTATCTTAGATGTGAGGATACCTTGGGATGCAGGCATAGATCTATGTGTAGTACTCTGAAGAAGCCCAGTGCCAGTCCCTGTGTGGCGGTGTGCAGCTCAGGGTCCACTCATCATGAGGCACGGGTGACACATCTCTAGCCTGTGATTTCCCAGTCCACAGATTCCCCATCCTCACGTGAATATCTACCCCAGGTTTCCACTTTGGGTACTGCCTTTGACACATGCTGTTATTCAATTGCCTGGACTGTAATTCTATGATAGAAGAAGGTAAAGAGAATGCCCATGGCTTGGGAACACCCCACATGTACAGGAAAGGAGAAAATTCAGGAAACCAAAGACAACTTGTCAGCTTTGTTGAGACACCATTCCTTAAAATATTCTAAGAAGTTGAAAATATTCCGAAGCCCACACCCTACCAAGGCTCAGGCGCACGGAGTGCACTGTACAAAAATACAACGATGTGCTCGGGGCCCTGCCTATTTTGGTCACAGTGTGATCCCTCCAGCTGTTAGCACAAGGTAATCGTGCATTCCATGCTTCAGTACAGGGAGTGGCCTTTTACACACACACACACACACACACACACACACACACACACAAGCACACACACACACACACACACCTATGTCTGTATAACTCCTTTTTCCTTTTGACAGCTGCAAATCAGAAGGAGCCCATGAATCTTAATTTTAAAGTGAAAGAGGAACCCAAGGAAGAAGAGCCCCTCAACACCCCTTTGCCTCGATCCAGCTATGTGTTCAGCCCAGAATCTGAAGTGGCATCCCCAAGTATCTCAGAGGACACCCTAAAGACCCAGGAAGGGAAGGGGAGCGGACTCCGGAGGGACGTGTCGATCAAAGCTGCTTCAGAACTTCTCATGAAACTCTCAGGTACCTGATTTATTCTAAAATATGCACATTCTGATCATTTCACCCGTTAATGGACCGGACTGCTTCCTGCCTGGGTTATAATTAACCTGATGTGACGATGCCACATTATGGTGGTGAACTCAGGGAATGATCAGGTTGCTTGGCTGACATCCCTGGGTTGTGCATTAGGAGTTTGTTCCATGGATGGATCTTATTAAATACGGCCATGTTTTCCTGACTATTACTGCAAATGGTTAGAAACCACTGCTGGTTTCAAGACAATCCAAATTGAAAGTGAATTCTATGGACATTCACAGCACTTCTGGTAGCTGAGCAAAATACCTATTTACTAAGAGAGGACCTTACATTTGTGTGCGTGCATGCGTGTGTGCATGCGTGTGTGTGTGTGTGTGTCTAAATTGTATTCTTTGCTTTGTTTTGTTTTTTTTTTGGAGGTACTAAGGTCTCATAATTGCTAGATGGTACCTGTTTCATTGACTATGTGTGTGTATGTGAATGTGTGTATGAGTGAATGTGTGTGTTGGTTGGTTGTGGGGCTTGAACTCTGGGCCTGGGAGCTGTCCCCCAGCTCAAGGCAAGCGCTCACTACTTGAGCCATAGTGCTGCTTCCAGTCTTCTGGTGGTTAATTGGAGATAAGAGTTTCATGGACTTTCCTGCCTGGGCTGGCTTTGAACTGTGTTCCTCAGATCTCAACCTCCTGAGTAGCTAGGATTACAGGTGTGGGCCCCTGGCACTGGGCCTGTTTTTGAGATAGGGTGTCACTTCCTGCCTGGGCACATGCCTAAGCTACAGTCTACCCCCTTTGAGGCTTCCCATTATAGCTGGCGTGACAGATGCCCACCGCCATGTCCAGCTTCCCTCTGTTGAGACAGTATGCTTGTCTGTCCAGACTGGCCTAGAACTGCTATCCTGTTTTCAGCCTCTCAACTAGCTAAAACTGTAGGCATGATCCACCAGCACCCAATTGTACTGTATTTTTTAAGGATCATTAACAATATTTGTCTTCACTTGATAAGCAGTTGAGATGACTCTTTAAGTAATTATTAATAGAGTAGCAATAAGAGATTTCCTAATAGTTAACCTATTGTTACGATGAATATCTAAATGTAATCGCAGCCTATTAAATGTAGGAAACAAGGGGGTATAGCTTGAAAGTGATGCATTTTAGATTTCCTTCCACCCAGTCTGTCCTGTCTGTCCCACTGCTTTTACCACAGGTAGAAAATGCAGTGTCTTTTCAATGCCAGGAATGACATTCAGAACATGGAGAGGAAATCTGTATTAATAATAATACTTGTCAAGTCATATTCCATCCTTAGTTCTCTGCCTTCTAAAGGTAATTTTTAGAACCTGTATTTAAAATGCTAATAGGAATCAAAAGCTGTTTTTAAGTTTGGAACTTGCTGTGCTTAAAGGATGAAAGCAAGAAATGTATTAGCGGGACTCCTCTGTGATCTGTAATTTCATCGGCAGTTCTGGCTGTGTTTCTGGTTGACTAGTAGGTTGGAAAGTAAGAAATTAATAGTGATTTACTTGGCATCATCATATCAGAGCAGTTGAAATTCCTGTATTTGCCAGTTGGTGGGGTTAAGAATTCTTGTCTTTGATGTTAACTCGAAGCACGCTGGAACTTGAGGAAAACATGATTTGTTAGAGATAAAGCATAATAGAATCCTTGCATCCTTAGGATAACCACATTTTCCCCAACTTTGCAGTGAGGGCTCAGCTCCCTTCACTCAGATAGAGGTCTGGTCAGGTGCTACTGACTGCTGAAAGCCAGGAGCTTTAGAAACAGTGGTGTTCAAGCCAGCAGAGTTTAGTATACTTGAACCCTCCCTCCTGTGTCAGAATACCTCAGTGATGTAGAGGAATCTCTCTGCTGTTATGCTGACCAGTTCAGGGAGGTTCCAGAGCTCTGCTTCTCCATAGCATAACCTTTCCCTTCACAGTGACTTGACACCTTACCCCACAGTGATTCCTGTCCCCCTCCCAATGGTAAGCTTCTGAAGTGTGATATTTCTATTTCAAAATTTACCCATGACTGTGAGCAGAAGAGGCTAGGATAATACCTCTGTGTGTGTGTGTGTGTGTGTGTGTGTGTGTACTACACATTATATATGTATTATATATATAGAGATAGATAGATAGATGTATACCTATATTTATGCAAAACTGAGATTTCATGAAAGACTTTATCTTAATCCTTTTGGGTGATGTGACTTGAGATACTGAAATAAGACATCCTTTCTCAGGTGACAGTGAGATCCTTTGACTGGAAATGCCATTGTGGCTGTCTATGATGTTAGTGGGTATCAGTGAGTCTTCTTAAATGTGTGATAACTTTTACTGAGTGTCTGTTCTCTGGGCTTCCACAAGAGCTGAATGGATGCAATGGTTTGTATTTCCAAAGGGCAGCCACCCTGCTTTATGATGTGGAAACAAAACACTTGTTTGAAGACTGGCAACTATATTTTTGCCCTGAAAAATAACCCCCAGCATTCTATGTGCAGGAGACATAGGTCAAGAAAACCCGAATCACACTCCCTACCCTGAAGATGCTGTGGTCCCAGCAGTAATCCGTTTATGTCATATTCTTCAAGGACTATTTAAATGGACTTTCTGAACTTTATAAGCAGTTGAGAGAATTTTTTTGGGGGGGTCCAGTTGTGGGGCCTGAACTTTGGGCCTGGGCGCTGTCCCTCAGCTCTTCAGCTCAAGGCTAGCACTCTACCACTTGAGCCACAGCGCCACTTCTGTCTTTTTTCTTTTTTCTTATGTGGTGCTGAGGAATCAAACCCAGGGCCTCATGCATGCAAGGCAAGCGCTCTACCACTGAGCCACCTTCCCAGCCCCGAGAGAATTTTTGAAGTAATTACCAGCGGAGTAACAATAAAAGAGTTTAAGGATTCCAAATTTCCTAGTGGAATATTACAATAATTAACCAGTTGTTTAGAGAAATGACTAATTCATCTCTAGTATCTAAATGTAATCCCAGCCTTATTAACTGCAGGAATGGGGAGTGGAATCCATTAGGGGCGATTTGCACCTATACAACTTGGTTCTGTTAAGAAGATGATGCCAAGTCAGTCCTAGAAACAGGCCTGTGTGTTTACCATCCAATGTCCGTTCATCCCCAAGCATCAGGTAAAAATCATTCACCCTTCATGAAGTGTCCAGGACTTCTCCTCATCTTTTAGCTCCCCCTTCCACCTGACCATTCCCATCCCTTGAGGCAAGATTGATCATTGATTGATCCCTCCCCAGTGTCTCTATGCAGTCGGCGGAGCTGCTCCGCATTCATGCTGGCCTGTGGCAGAGACTCCTTACACCTGTCTTGCTTCTTTTCATGAATAATGTCCTGTCATTCTGGGGTAATCCTTTGGTCAGGCAAGTGTTGGAGGCAAAAACTAGTGACATTTTCTCTTTCCTTCCTTCCTTCCTTCTTTCCCTTCCTTCTCTCCCTCCCTCATTCTCTCTCTTTCCTTCCCTCCCTCCTCCCTGTCTCCTTCCTTCCTTCCTTCCTTTTCTTTTCTTTTCTTTTTCTTGTGCTGGTACTGGGGCTTCAACTCAGGGCCTTGTGCTGTTTCTTGGCTTTTTCCACTCGAGGCTGGTGCTCTGCCACTTGAGCCATACCTCTTCTTTCCATGATCCTTCTTATTCTTGGGAGATGTTCAGTCCAAGATGTCTGGCGGACGCTGAGCCTGCACATAGCTCTGAATTCTGGGTGAGCCTGAATTCTCAAACTAGGTACTGAAAGAGATTAGCAATATCTAATAGGATGGAAGAATGATAACAATATTATAATAGAAGTTGTTTGGAACTTAGGAATCATTTATGTCTAGACTTACTTCTTTAGTATTTTCAGAACACAGTTGACTGATGGTAAGTGGAAATTGATGTGACCGAGATGGGAGACTATGGAATCTGAATCATCCTGTGTCTCTTGTGATACAAGGAATTGCTAAGGTATAGAAGTTTTCTTTTCATTTTTATTTCCTTCAGATAAGAAGCTTTGACCTCTACTTGAAATCTTTTTATTCCTTATTAAATTAAGAGGAAACTAGTCAACAATTGTGTTGGTGGTGGTTAGGGGGCTTGAATTCAGGGCCTGGGCATTGCCCCTGAGTTCTTCTGTTCAAGGCTAGCACTCTAAAACTCCAGTCACAACCCCACTTCTGGTTTTCTGGTGGTTAATTGAAGATAAGAGTCTAATAGGGACTTTGCTGCCCTGGCTGGCTTTGAACTGTAATCATCGGATCTCAGCCTCCTCAGTAGTTAGAATTATAGGCATGAACTACCAGCAGCCAGCTAGCCAACAGTTTTGTTCACTTAATTTCCAGTTTTAAATGAAGTTAGGTTAATTTGATGAGGAGGGATATTTGGGATATTTGGTTTGGTCAAATGTCCCATAAAACCTTCCTAGGTAAATAAACCTGTGTAAGTACATTGTTTTCTAAATTGACCTTTATGTTCTATAGGAACAAAACACAATTAATTGGCTAACTTTTTCATTAGCTCTGTGTTTGGGAAAATCTGAGTTGTCTTCCTTCCTGTGGTTTAAATTCCATTTCCAGTTGTTAATTGGGAGGTTGAATCCCTGACAGCAGGGCCTAGTGAATTGACTACTATAAAGAAAGCAACTCACTCTGAGGAAACCACTGGATGTCTGAGACTCTCTGTTGTTGTGTGACACAGGCAGCCAAAGTCATCAGACTGCTCTACAGAGCGTGTGGTTGCCAAAGACGATTCCCAGATGTCTTCATTTAAGGAGGCCTAGACCTCAGGGTCTAAAGGTTTTATAACATAGTAGTGTGATTACTCAGGGTACCTTTAACGTTTTGCAGTGTCTGGTTGCCTCGTACACTCAGGGGCTAGATGTGTTATCATAGGTGTGGTGTCATGCTGAAAGTAACACAACATTTTATCCATGTGGTCTCCATTGTGTTTTAAGAGAAGAAGGATAAAAAAAAGTCCTTCTCTCTTTTGGGAGACTTCACAT